GCATTGAAATGCTAATTACAAGATTAGCAGTTAGACACCACTAGCCATTTCTGCTCCAGTAAAGATTTACAGTCTCAGAAACCCAAAAGGGCAGTATGGGAAAAACTCATAGTAGTGTATGAGTGGTTTTCTTATTTCAAAAAAGGTAAAATGTCAATTGATGATAATCCTCATTCTGACCACCCATCAACTTCCTGAACAAAAATGTTGACTTGTAGTGCATTTGGAGTTTGGTCCACCAGGTCACTTTTAATCAAGCTTTCTATTTAGAGGTTCTGAAAAGATTGCTTAAACAGTATGTAACTAAAAAAGCCTGATTTGTGCCAGACAGGGAACTGGTTTTGCCACCATGACAATGCTCACACAGCCATCTCAGTGCACCAGTTCGGTAAAAAACAGCATGCCTCTCTTGCCTCATACACCTGACTCACCTGGCCTCGCTCCATGCCACTTCTTTTTTGTTTCTGTGAATGAAAAGGGACATGAAAGAACAGCAATTTGAAAACCACAGAAGAAGTGAAGAGAAAAATGAGGGCAGTGCTGTCAGCCATCCAAACAGATGAGTTTGAAAATGTTTCCAAGAATGGAATTGCAGAATTGACAAATGTATTAAGTGTAATGGAGGTACTTTGAAGGTGATAGGGATGTTTTATAAAAAAAATTTAAATACACAGCTTTGTATGTATGTATAAAACAAATTCTGGGGTGTTTGGGGTATCCCTTTGTATGCCTATTTTTTACTCAGTAGCTTTTCTTTAAACTGATATTTTAAAAACAAGACTACCTATGATTCCCTAAATAGTATTTATGGAATTATTAACTTCCTATGCTAGTTGTCTTTCTAATGCACATAAAATACATCACTGCAAAAATCAAACTGTATTGTATGTCCTTGTACTGATTAAAATTGTCTTGCAGCACTTTGATAAACACTTAATTTTCTGTCTGTAATCACCCAGAGATGGGTTATGAGGAAACTGGTGAATTTAGGAAGCTTGTTGAGGTTTGGTCTGATATTATCTTTAATAAGGTTTCTCATGTCCAGTACTTTCAGTTGATTATTGAAGCAAGAATCCAAACCTGTTCTATTCCTTTGTTTGAGTTTCGTAGGCCTGATAAAACAGAACACTCCAAATTTCATGCCTTTAAAGAAAAAAATTATTTTTGGTTTATTCTGGATCCAAGTAATACAAATTCAGGACATCAAGTAGATGAATCCTCACATGCTCTCATTTTCCCTGTGTCTGTTCACTCTGCATGTCCCTCTTTTAGAAGATAGTACTCAGAATAAAGATAGGATCCAGCCACTCCAATAAGTTTGGGAGAAACTACCCAAACAAAGTCACATTTACAAGTATAAAAGTTACAGACAGGGCTTCAAAATATCTTTTTGGAGAACACAGTTCTTTCCATAACATTACATTTTGTGTCCACCTGCCACCACAAAATTCACATCTTTCTCATATACAAACTATGAGGCTAAGTCAAAAAGTATTGCTACTAGGATTCCAGTTCATATGTACATGAGATTATTCCACAGAGAACATGTTAAAATGTATCTGTATGTTCACTGGATGGCTGAAGACAAGGTCTCTCAGTAATATTCTTGTCTTAGTTTCATTGGGGTCCTATTTTGTGAAAGGGGGGGATTCATGTTGTGCCATGGGGGTGGTAGGGAACAATTCTGCTGTAGGATCTATCAAATTTTAAACAAAACTCAAGTGACATCTTCTGACTCATTGAAGCTTTTCAAAAGTTTTCTGGAAATCTTGACCCATATAAAATGGCAGTTTTTAGATGAGTAAGTCATTTTAAGGAATGTCAGAAATAACTCAAAGAAGAGCCAAGAGAGGGAAGCCATCTACCTCGACAAAGGAAGAAGCACAGGCTGAAATCCAGAAACTGGTTGAAGAAGACCATGCCATTGCCGTGGACGTGGTAGCGACTGAAGTATTTTTCCATATGAAGCGAGTATCTTTTTAAAACAGTTTTAGTGACATATAACTCACTTATCATACAATGAACATCTTAACCACAGCAAGATTTTGACTCTGTGTGTCAAAAATGTTCTTAGAAGTTCAGCTATCTCAAAAAGCTCATCTTTATTTCCATCAATTAGCAAAGCTAATGATGATTTCATGGAGTGAATCATAATCAGGAATAAGTCTTGGATTTAATAATGTGATCCAGAGATCAAGGTCTAATCCAGATAGTGACTTAATCAGGGGAATTGCAGGGCCAATTAAATTTGAGGCAGAGAGGTTATCTCAGAAGATTATGGTGATAGCAGTTCACCTGGTCTACTTCTGACTTTGGGGAGTAGTAACTGGGGTCTTAAAAACTGTGAGCGGCCATCTAAGGTTGATGAAGAGTGATGAAAACCAAAGACATGTGGAAACAATTAGTACAGTGGACTGATGGACCATGTGGACACCAATTTCCTTGACCCTGAGACCAGAAGAACTAAATGGTGCCCAGCTACCACTACCAATTACTATGAAAGGGGACACACACTAGAAGGTTCTGGAAAAAATGGGAGTCAAAATACCAGCAAAATTCAAAATCATGAAGACCAGACGTGTTGGTCTGATAGACTGGTAGAACTCCTGAGATTATGGTCCTTGATTATCTTTTCAGGTCTAGGACTGAACCCATGTGGCTCACTTTTCAGAAACACAAGAGACAGGTTCATAAAGAGAATAAATCAGTATTAATGTGTGTATATCCTAGAATAATCGATCATCTAGGATCAGCAGGGCAACATTTACCTAAGGAAAAATGTAAGAGGGTAGAAATGGAAACCAGAAACACAGGAAGGAGGGGGGATAAATGATATTACATTGCGGGTATTACAAAGAGTAAAATTAAACAGAATGTATGTGAAGCATTGTAAACCTTCACTAAATTCACAGTTAAAAAGTTAAAAAAATAAGAGATTGTAATGACGATTTTTTTTTTGAGATACCAAAAGGGTAATCTTTTTTTTTTTTTAATTTAAATTAATCAATTTATTGGGGCTCATACAATTTATCACAATACATAGATCAATTGTGTAAAGCACATCTATACATTTGTTGCCCTCATCAT